GGTTTTTAAAACGAAAAAAATACTTTTGTGCCATTTTCAGTCTGATTATGAGTCATCTCTTTGCTTCATTGTTTCTGTTTAATCCAAACTAATACCAGTGCCCTTTCTAGAGAAGAAAAGAAGTAATATTTGCAACCTATACAAGAGGAAAAAAGGGCACTGATGTCCTCTGAAACCATTTGTAGCCCTATTTATTTAAAATGTAGTTGCATTCTTTTTACCTAGTTTTATAAGCTGGTTCTAATTCTTAGAGTTGGGCCCAGTGTGCTTTCTAGAATGGCAATCCCACGCAACTTTTCCATACAAGGTTTTTTTCTTTTGTCGCTGTGCTTCATAATTAGATGTAGGTAAATAGTTTATCTTCTGAGGTTTCATGCAGAAGGAATGAAGCAAAGGAAAAAGAAGGACTATAAAATTATGGCAAATAGTTGTTTAATATTGATATTCAACCTGATGTTTCTATTTCTTATTAGTTTATCAGATGCTCTCTCTTTTGTGTTTTATCGTTGCTACTGTATGTTGCTAAAGATATTGTATGTCACTTAGATTTGACTGTTTATGTACCATTTGAAAACATCTCCTATCTGACATTTCAAATCCTTGTAAAATCATGCATGCTTCTTGATCACCATTTTTACTTCTACCAGTCACACTGTTCAAATGTTCTCCAACATTTTTAAGGTTTTATCTTAGTCCTTAATATTTCCATATTTTTAAATGGTTCCATGGAACAAGATAAAAATGAAAATATACAAAATAATAAATAGTGGTTAGAACCATTAGAACTGTAAAGGGAATTTTAAAAAGCCCAAAGAGCTAGCAGTTTTCAACAAATGTGTAACAAAAAGTAGTTTACTTGATGCAGGTTCACTCTGTATTAATCAAAACCAGATTTATTTGAAATTACACACTGGCACGTTGACTTTCATTTTATAGTTGTGAAGGCAGTTCATTAATTTATAATGTCTCTGTGGGGAGTAAAAGAAAAATTGTTGCAGTCTTGCAACACTGCAAGTTTATCACTGGTGGATTCTAGTGTATGGCTACAAAATTATTTTAGAAAATGTTTTTTGAGTGATTAGGATTTCTTAACCTGAAGGAACCATTAACATGTCTTCATATGTATATGAGCTGGAAATATACACTCACAGCCCAGAAAGCCAATGGTGTCCGGGGCTGCATCAAAAGGAGCATGGCCAGCAAGTCAAGGGAGTGCATTCTGCACAATTTTGCTCTGCTGAGACCCCACCTGGAGTCTTGCATCTGGCTCTGGAGTCTTCAGCAGAAACAAGACAGGGACCTGCTGCAGTGGGTACAGAGCAGGGACACAAATTATCAGAGGGCTGAAGCATCGCCCTTCTGAGGAAGAGCAGGGAGAGATGGGCTTGCTGAGATGGAGAAGAGAACATTCCAGGGACACCTTACTGTGGCCCTCCAGTACTTGAAGGAAGTCTACAAGAAAGCTGGAGAGGGAGAGACTTTTTACCGATCTCTCCAAGACAGGAAACAGGACAGTGGTTTTGGTCTGAAAGAAGGTAGGTTTGGATTAGACAGAAGGCAGAAATTATTATCATGAGGGTGTTAAGACACTGGAACAAGTTGTTCAGGGAGGTTGTGGATGTTCCATCACTGGAATTACTCAAGGCCAGGTTGGATGGAACTTTGGATGGAACTTCACCTGGTCTGGTGAAGTATGTCCATGCCCAGAACAGGGGGAGAGGACTAACTGATCTTTAAAGGTCCCTCTCAACTGAATCAATTCTGTGATTCTCTAATTAATAGAATTCTATATTTTGCTCCATTATCTGCACAGTAGGCAGATATGTTATTGTACAAGTATGTCACAGAAATAAGATAACCATGGAATACCTCACTGGAAGATCTATCTCTTTCCGTTGTATTCCAGTAAGGAGCTGATCTGTCAGAAAGGAAAACCTTTTCTCCGGAAGTTTCGCTCTTGACTTTCTGAGCCTGTAAAATGTACTCTAGGTCTGTTTTGCTGCACCTTTGCTATGTGTCTGTGTGCAGATCTAGTGCAACTGAAATCTCAAATTATTTATAGATGACTTCTTCTAAAATTAAGCTATGTTTCACTCTTGAAAATGGTTTTGTGTGTGAGTTTAGAGAGCAATGTTTTTTAGCAGTGGCATATACTGTGCTAGAGTGTCAGTTGATGGCTTTGATGACTCTGAAGCAAGGGTAGTCGTTTCAGCTTCTATTCAATAGAAAACTAACCATATTTACTGGCAAGGGTCAGGTCTCTTTTTCATGTAAATGGATTCCTGAGGGCTGAAATAATTTTTAAAATATGTTGATGGATATTCTTGGCAAGTTTCATAGAAATATAAGTAAGTAGGCTTTACTTTCCCTTATTGTCCTGTAGTATGATGTATTCAGCTCAAAACAGAGAACTTTTCTAACTACTAAAGAGGCAGATCAGATCAGGACAGAATCTTGACTTTTTGGATAGAGCTCTGATGAAGTTTCAGCCCTTCATAAAGTGCATTATTCCTTTTAATGAAAAAGGTTTTCTGTGTCTGCTCTTTGAAAATATTGTACCCTGAAAACTTTCAAGTTGATCTTGTGCACTCAGCAGTGCTTTTGTGCTCGGTGTCACATTTTCTGTGTTGTTTTTCACACTTTAATTCTTTCACTTTAGATTCCTTTGCAACAATCTGCACAAAAAAAAAGTGTTAAGTAAAAAAGAAATAGTTGAACTTCTGGTGTATAATACCTTAGTATAACAAACAGGAGAGAATATATGTTTTTATGCTCTTAAATTGTAAGAGGGTCTTCATTGAATCTCACTCCTTCATTACATACTTATTTCTGGACAGAAATGCTTAAGTAAGATGTAGTTTCCTTTTCATATTTACCTGTTTACTGATTTAATTTTCTGCCACGAGCATCCTATTCCTGAAAGGTTGAAATTCAGCTGGAATGATAGTAGTGGTACCCTGTAGTACCGGATGCATCAATTTTGACTTCTGTTTGGCTTGAAACCCTCATATTAGATGGATGACTACATGAGATTAAAGTACCAACTTCTCAAGAGTTGGTACCAGTTTGTACCCACTACTGTTTGTACAAAAATTAAGTAATTAGCTTTTAAACTGTTCTGCTGTATCTGTGATATGAAGTGCTAAAAGTGTTCTGATTTCTTTCTCCAGCAACTTTTTCATAAATAAACTTATTTTCTAGAATGGAGTCTCTCCTTTGGTTTATCTTGTCTTAGAGTTGCAGTTTGTCAGAGTGAAAAGAAAACTGCTTAGCATGTTATGTCTAAAAAATGGTGTTTATGAAGACAATAAAAAATTTTATATTCATGTGTCATTTGTAGATGTACCCATTCCCAACTGCATTCACCCTTAAATATGCTTTTTACCATCCTGTTTTTACACCCAAGTGAAATTCTCCCTATGCTGGCTTTGGAGAAGCAGTTAGCTCAGAACTGTTTTCTGCTTGCAGGGTCCTTCAGTTTTCAAAAAATAAACTCAGTGTTATGCAAACAAACAAACAAAAAAAACCCCAACAACAACAACAAAAAAGCCAACAACAGAACAAAGAAAATCAAAGAACCCACCAAAAGTACCAAAGTAGCTTTCACATGCATACCTATCTATGATTCAAAGCTATGGTTTTGGCAAAGATTGAAACTGAAAAGGCTAGTTTCAATGGGATGGTTAATTTAACTGTTGCATATTATCTATTGCTTTTAACATACTTTAAACTTTGATTAAAGTCATAGTTTTGCTGTCCTATCTCATACTGGATGGTGGGACATTCCTCCTGCTACATCACAAATGCCATTATAGCACTCTGGATTTTAAGTTTCAGCCTCATTGAAATGCCATTTAAAACAAGGCTAACTCTGGTCTGGTGGGTTTATCTCACTTGACCTTCTGCCTAGACTGTGGTAGAAGCAATTCACAGCCTACAACTAGGAGTACAGTGGCATACTGCAATGGTTTCACATTTGTCTGGTCATGCTAAGTCATACTTATTTCCCTCACTTGTAGTCACACATTTCCACAGTCAGATCTCTACAGGTGTGTGCATGGTTGTTGTTTGTCTGTGGCAAAGGAATGACCAGGTTTAATAATCTAAGTGACCATTTTCATTTTCATAGAAAATACTTGTGTACTTTCTATTGAATCAGACACTGGGGGAAGTGTTTTACCAGCAGTAGCTGGCACTATTTTAATGATTTTAAAGGTTAAAGATGTAGAACAATGTTGGTGACAGACTTTGAGGGTAGTAACATGAGCTATATGCTGGAATCCAGTTAAGTTTTCATTTGTGTCTTTGAAAACTCTCTACTGCTTTTAAAGCCATAACCAAACTTCTTGGTACTGGCTCAGGAAAATTGTCTTGTAGTCTCAGTTGGACCAGTGAATGTTTGAGTACAAAACAAAACCTTTTAAAAATCGGTAGTGTAAGGTTTTGCTTATCTGGAGACTGCCTTTAACAACATGCAGTTTTATGTGTTTAATCACAAGGAAGTACATCTTTTATACTTCCTTTTTCTTTTACTGACTTCTGAAAGTTACATTCTTAACTTAGGTTTATAATTTCCATTTGCTTTCTATTTAGACAAGCAATTTGTGAAGTAACCACCAGACCAATCAAATATTCAGCATAGGGCTTGCTTGATAACATGAATACTGCAACAGGTCAGACTTTATAGCAAGGGGCTGTTCCCTGATCGGCTGAGGAGGTTGGTCTAGCTTCTGCAGACATGATATTATGTTGGAATTAAAGCCTGAAGTAAGTCTCTTAGTTGGCCAGGTTTTTTCTAGTGCTGTGCTAAGGTCCCCCTTAACCTCTTCTAGGAGGAATAAAGGTGCACCAGAACAGTATCATTGTGATCTCAGTTTAGAGAAAAGGAGACTTTCACTATTCATAGTGTAAAATGAATGCGTAGTAGATAAAATAAGTTCACACGATTTCTTCACATGAAGTTATATGAGTTTCTTAATGCACTTTTTCTTTCTTTGCAGCTATTGGCTGACAAACAAGGTTCACATTAAGCGACCCAGCACTGGTCTTCTCATGTATACACTTGCCACCAGATTTTGTGATGAAATTCACCTGTACGGATTTTGGCCATTCCCAAAGGATTTACATGGAAAACCAGTCAAGTATCACTATTATGATGATCTGAAGTATCGGTATTTTTCTAATGCCAGTCCTCATAGGATGCCATTAGAGTTTAAAACATTGTATGTGTTACATAATAGAGGAGCACTTAAATTAACAACAGGGAAATGCATACAGCAATAAAGCACAAGTATTGTACAATAAATACAGAATACACACCTCATCATAAAGATGTTATGAAATGGCAATGGGACCACAGTGGGGATTTGTTTCAATATCCACTGTGTCATTGGAAGAACATGTTATATCAGAAGTACATAACCAGCTATTATACCTGTAAAGTGTTAAGTCACTAAGCTATCTTGACTGCAAGGGTTCAAGTGCCACTTTCACTAAGAACAAAGCTTGAATGTATGCTCAGTAGCGTTTATAGGATGCAGTGACACACACATTCATCATGAATTAAAGAAGAAAAAGAGCCTGCCAATTTGCAGCTGTGGTCAGACAGCCCACACAAGAATACCTAGTGGATGGAATATTTACTTGAGTAAATAAATCAGGCTTTGGCAGAAAATATCACGATGGATTTGAGTAGAGAAAGTGAAGTCTGTAAGATGAAAAAAATCAGTAAATGCCTTTAGTCAGAGAACTGTTTCTGATATTGTATTATAACCTCAGCTTCTGTTGGTTTTTTTTGTTATTGCCGTTGGTTGGGTTTTGTTGCTATTAAGTTTTGGAGCCCTTAAAAGATTTCAAGGGTGTTATAAGTAAATTCATTTTTTATCTTACAGAACTGTCTTAAGGAAAAAAGATTTGTAAGCATGGGAGGGTGCAGTGGAACATAATATATTTTATCAAATGTTATTGTGTTGCATCCTGCTGTCACACAGTCCTTAACATCCCAATTGTTTTTCTAGCTACTGTTTTCAGTACCCATTACATGAAACCTCACAGATACCGTTTTAATCTGATTTATAAGTTTTTCTTTCCTGTAAATATTTGAAGACATACAAGAGGATGCCCTTGCTTTCAGTGCCAAAGATTACTATTGTACACATTTTTCCGTTATCTTGGAGAAATTGTGTGGATTTATGTTGCTTTGCTGCTTAAAGGAACATATTCTTTGTTATTTATTTTTAAGCATCTCAAATCAAAGCATCTTTGTAGAGTATCTCAAAGCCTCTTTTAGACTTCACATATAGAATTCTTCAGAAAAATCTGCAAGAGTAAAGAAATTACTTCATGCACTCAATTATATGTATGTGTGTATATATATCTATATATAGTTCTATTCTTGGTGGAAAGAAAAAGTCTAAAGAAACTCAGGTGACAGTGGAATTAAAGTGAAAAAAAACACCTAGCCAATTAGTGGACAAAAATATAGACCATACAGTTCTTTTAAACTTCTAATGCTGTTACATTATCTCTTTATTTAATATACCTCTTGTATAATCTAGATGTTCTGATGTGTAACTGACTGAAATAACACGTTGTCTCACAGTTGGTTTTTTGATCATCAGTCTTGTTTGTCAAAAAACTCAACAGTTCTTTCACTTCCTTCTTTCTAACAAAAGAAAACAAGAAATTACAGGAGCACAGGAGAGGGTGAAGTGTCAGTACAGCATACATTAAGAAACAAAACTTTTCATCCCATGATGTATTTTAGTGCTAAAGGAGCACATAAATAGGTAACATCATGGTTTCATATCATATGTTATTCTTGGCTAAGGAGTAGGCATGCCAGTATGATGTATGGATATTTTTCTTGTTATGTTTTCAGAGATACATTAGATCCTGGTCTCCAAATATGATATTCAGTCTATCTACTGAATTTTTAATTTGTTTGAGCAATTTTATATGTTTTACCACTCTCAAATATTTACTAGCTGAAAATGCTCTTTATTACCCATTTTCTTCTCTTAAGTTCATGTATCTCATCATGCATGATTGGAGATCTGGAATTATTGGCCGCTAAATCAGTGCCTTGCAGTCAAATATTACAGGAAGTAGAAAGTCAATTCTGTTATATGTAAGACACAGTAACATCTTTCCTTATTCACTAGACTCTTGTACTTAACGACAGTTTACTTTGGCCACGTGCTAATGTGCAATAAGAGGTCCTAACATGAAACTTACTGAAACCAAGGTATCATGAGGAATTAAACAGTCATGCAGACTGGAATGTGTTTAATTTGATATTGATAAAACAAAGGGTGCTATTTGTTCACTATGTACGCCTTCATTTTAGTACAAGATTATTTCTACAATTAAGGGTGAGCATATTCCTGTTCTTGCTGTTAGGAAAATGTTGATTGCTACTGTTGATCTTCTAAAGCACATTTAATATACATTGACAAAATTGCTATTAGAATAAAGAATTCACAGATTGCCAGTCTCTCAGAAGCTCAGAGAAACATCCTTATCAACAACTTTATCTTCTGGGAGTGTCTTTTCTTCTCTCTAGTGTCAGGCCATAGACAAACCTCATGCTCAAGTAGTCTAAAATATTAACTGACAGGTGATTTTGTTCACCTGTGGAAGGTTTGAGTATGCCAATTTATTATGCATCTGAAGCAAAGTCAATGGGGACTCTTGTATTCCTTGGCATCAAAAAAATCTTTGTGCAAATGAGTACATGAAAAGAATATCATGTAAATAGAAAGATAGGTGAGAGAATTTGCCTTTAGAAGTCAGCAGACAAATTAAATCTTTGCCTAAATCTTGGTTTTGCATGCTTCACATTTGATTTTCTGCAAGTGAAGTTAACTTTAGTACAAAAGCCATGGAGTTTAGATTTTTACCCTATCACTAAATTTCTCTGACAGACAACAGAGTTTTCCCATACCTCCTCAAAACTGGGCCTTAACCTCATCTTATGCAGGCTTTCTACCTTCAGTACTGCACTCTTGGACACTGTGAGCCATAGGCTCAGGGCATTTTGCTATCATCCACATTCATCTTTCTCACAGCACTCTCCCTTAAACCAGCACCTAGGTGTGCCTCCTTACCAAAACCATGGGGCTCCATACCAGTGCGCCTCTTCTCTCACCTGCCTCACTTTATCCTGGCTTAGGTGTGATGTAGTGAGGGTTGGGTCTCAAACTACTCTCTGAGACAAGTGGCAGTTGTTGTGTGACTCCATAGGTTTTTGCAAGGACTAAGGGTCATTTTACACTCTTGTTCTTATATAAGACCTGTGTCTATGTGGAGACCAAAGATTCTGGGAGGCCCTTTGGTGTGTGGTTTGATGTTTCAAAAACAAATTGTTTTGAGGTGGTTTGTGACCACAAGTTACTGCGTGGTCAAAGGTGACCTAAGGTGAGAAATGTCCAGGACTATCCTTGTTGTTTGCATTCTACACCTGGGAAGCTGTAGCAATGGACTCTGCAGACACCCTTCTTATCTTTCCCTTATACTGCCTGGCACTCTTGGAGCATTTCTGTTAAGGCACCCCAGAACCTAAATGGAAAAATAGATTACTTCCACTGTGTGATTTTTTCTTAAAGGTGACCCAGGACATTGCAGCAAAGTCTTAACTGCTGTTTAGAGACTTTTGAGGTGGGATGATTTCACTTTGTGGTCCTTTACTGATTAGCAGTCAACAGCTTAAGCCTTCATAGCTGCCTTGGGTGATTTATGTTGTTTTGTCTATATTCACACCTCTGCTGCCAACAGCACAGAGAAGATAATAAATTTATATTTTAATTACCACTTTTAAAATCCAACACTATCAACAATTAATACAAAGTAGTAGGATAAAAAGAAAGACCCCTAATGTTGTAATGTTATCTGCCCCAGTGAAGAACAACTGAAATGCCAATCAGTTGTGTTCAGAGTGTTCCTCAAATTTATCCTCTCATCAGCTATATCAATTGCCTGCTGTAGCTCCAAAATGTACATTAAAAATAAGAACTGGAATCTAAATCAAGACAGCAGAATGTGTCTATTTGCCCAAAGGTTATGGCAGCTTTACATTAAACAACTTGAATTAATTCAGATAAATTGATTGTAAATTGTTTGTTAAGATACATGTTAATGTGTCTGTGACAGTCCTTCATATTTCATACAAATAATAGATAAATGTTTGATTGTTAACTTTCCTGCTTCGGGACATTTCTTTTCCACAGCTCTGAGCCATTCTCCAGATATAAGATCTACTGAACCTTTCAGATCTGAGTCTGATGTATAGTAATGACTGTATCATTCTTTTGTTAGACAATATAAGCAACATGTTTGAGGTCAGTACTTTTTCTCTAATTGCAATTTGAAGAAAAACAGATGCAGGTTCAGTACCTTTTTTAGTGATTAATCTAGCAAAGTGCTAAGCACTCTTTGTGGTGACTTTCCTGGGAGAGACGTGTCCAGGATTTAGATGGGGATCTAGATTAGCATATTTCAGGATAGAAGTTTGAAATTGCACATTATTTATTTTTAAGAGCACTGTTACTTTGTGTAAGGAAAAGCACAGTTATTATAAATGTACATAAAGGAGAGTACTATTGCTACTGAGTGTATGTCATACAATTTCTGTGGTATTGATACAGATTCTCTCAGAATTGCCATGTTTGACACTGTTAGTCTTATTTCAAGTACAGCTATGGGGATTGTTTTTTATTTGTATGACTGAAAAAAATAAAAATTTCCTTTCATGTTTTCTATTATGTTCTATTCCATATTTCTTTGTAACACAGTTATGGTAATTTAATCAATCTTGTACTAATTGTAAGAATCTTTGGAAGAATGTCTGCTCCTTTAAGGTGTTTAATCAGGGACTTTCTCAACACAAAAGGGGATATTAAGAAAAGGAGGAATCCATAAACAGAGAGACACAAATCTGTCTGACCAGTAACAAAGGAGGCAGAGGTGAGAACCAAAACTGATGAGTTACACAAAATAGTAAGGATGAAGTGTAGGATTTTTTATTCCAGTATGATTTTCTGATCAAGGATTTTGTCAAACGGGATACTAAGGAGAAGGGGGAAGCAAACTATGTAGACACCCAAACCTGACAGGCAAATCATAATGGAGACAAGGAGAAGAAGCCAACCTCATCAGTCATGCTGAACAGCTACTTTGCAACTGATACTGATGCAATCCTGGGGGTCCAGAATGCTGGAGAGGAGTTGGTGGATCTTTACAAATGGGGCAATGTTCAGGGGAGGAAGAAAAGAGGAATAGACAGAAAAGGGGCCGGTCACTTGTAAACCATGGCAGGTCAGTATGCTTGTCTGGCAGATTCCAGAGGCTGATTGCCCCAGTCTGTCTTAAGTCCGTTAAATTTTTTCATACCTCCTTCTCTGTGTCATCTCTCTGTCTGTCCCATGCATGTGCATGCTGGAAGGACTCTGTGCCAGACAGTGGGGGACTGCTGTGAGAGGATTGGGTGCCATCTGATGGAGTGCTGATGAGTGATGTCCCTGGCCTGTGGTGTTAGCTGCTGGAGTGAGTAGTGGAGGTCTCAGTCACTCTACAACTACTGGAATGAAGTGCTTTATGGCAGGGGGGTTTGCATTGGATATTAGGGAAAAATTTCTTCACTGGAAGGGTAGTTAGGCATTTAAGCAGCCTGCCCAGGGAAATGGTGGAGTCAGACCTGGGGGACGTGCTATAGTGGTGGATTTGACAGTGCTGGGTTAACAGTTGTATCAATGATTTTAGAGGTGTTTTCCACCCTTAATGATTCTGTGATTCACTGTAGCAAGTAGTAACCTTGCCTTTTGGGGGAAGAGAATGCTGGGTGTTAACAAAACCGGCTGCTGGGCAGGCACTGCATGAGTGAGGCAAATGAGTGGATCAGTGCTGGTTGCTGCAGTAGAACCACAGGTCACAGTGGTTCCAACTGTGTGGTGCCAACTGCTGAGACG